GAAATCAGTAATTTATGGGTACATCAGACTACATCAAGTAAACTTTTAGGGGACATTTGCGAGTAAGCCTAACCTAGAATCTTGCATCGAAACAGGTTAAAAACATATTCCGGCTTTTTGAAATCAGTAATTTATGGGTACATCAGACTACATCAAGTAAACTTTTAGGGGACATTTGCGAGTAAGCCTAACCTAGAATCTTGCATCGAAACAGGTTAAAAACATATTCCGGCTTTTTGAAATCAGTAACTTATGGGTACATCAGACTACATCAAGTAAACTTTTAGGGGACATTTGCGAGTAAGCCTAACCTAGAATCTTGCATCGAAACAGGTTAAAAACATATTCCGGCTTTTTGAAATCAGTAACTTATGGGTACATCAGACTACATCAAGTAAACTTTTAGGGGACATTTGCGAGTAAGCCTAATCTACAGGGTCCGGCACTCGAAGTGTAACCAATTGAAAGAGCCATAAATCCAGTTTGGAAAATCAATTTTACTCGATTAAAAGTACAAAATGTGTAAAAATAATACAAAATTTAAGAACAATTTACTTTTGCTCGACATGACCACCTTTTGCTTTGACTATGGCCTTTAGACGGTCGAAAAACAAATCGCATTTGGCCGAACGTGATTTGCAGGTATTTTGGCCCACTGGCGGACAACGGCTTTTTTTAGCGCCTCGAGACTGATGCACCCTTTAGTTCGGACCTTGCTCTCCGAAATGGCCCAAAGAGAAACATCCATAGGATTAGCGTGTGGTGAATTTGAGAGCCATTGTGCGGACGTTTTGAAGTTCGGAACGGTGTTTTTCAGCCATTCTTGGTTCACTCGAGCTTTATGATACGCTGCCGAGCCCTGTTGAAACGTCCATGGTCTGCCACCGAAATGTTGATCTGCCCATGGCTTCAAAGCAACCTTCAGAATACTTTCCCGATGATATCGCACATTTACCTTGACGCCAGGCTCGATGAAAACGATTGGAGATCGCCCATCTGCGGTTACAGCGGCCCAAACCATTATCTGTGGCTGGTGTTGCCTCCTGGTGGCCAGTCGATGGCTCAAATTCTTGTCTGAACGTTCAGTCAAGTAAACCCTATCGTTTTGAGAGTGTGCGAATTGCTTAATTATGAAAATTTTCTCGTCGGAAAACACAATGTTCGGAAATTTACCACTCTCGGCCAGGCGAAGCAACTCCTTAGCTCTCTGAAGTCTCACTTGCTACTGCTTCGACGAAAGATCATGTGCCTTTTGAATCTTGTAAGGCTTGACCTTGAAATCATTTTTCAGTATGCGGCGGATGCTACGGTCAGATGTGTTAAGTTCTTCTGCCATTTAATTGGCACTTCGTCGGGGATTTTGCTCGAGTCGCTTTCTCACTTTTTTGGCCATCTCATGTGACGTTGCAGTCTTTTGGTAACCACCTCCATGACGTTTTGCGATGCTACCAGTTTCATTGTAACGAGTTATGGTGCGATAAGCGAAAACTTTATTCACTTTAAGGTGTTTGAGCCCTCGAACAATCGCTGGTTGTGATTTTCCAGCTAAATATAATGCAATCACACTGTTACGTTTGAAATCCATTACTGATTTCTTTTTTTCGCGTTCACTGTCGACTAAATACATTCGTACGCTTATAAACAATAGACTAAACTATCATTTAGCTAACTTACTGACAGTTGGTACACGTGCATCAGCTACGCGAGCTGTTTGAAATTGGTTACACTTCGAGTGCCGGACCCTGTAGAATCTTGCATCGAAACAGGTTAAAAACATATTCCGGCTTTTTGAAATCAGTAACTTATGGGTACATCAGACTACATCAAGTAAACTTTTAGGGGACATTTGCGAGTAAGCCTAACCTAGAATCTTGCATCGAAACAGGTTAAAAACATATTCCGGCTTCTTGAAATCAGTAACTTATGGGTACATCAGACTACATCAAGTAAACTTTTAGGGGACAATTGCGAGTAAGCCTAACCTAGAATCTTGCATCGAAACAGGTTAAAAACATATTCCGGCTTTTTGAAATCAGTAACTTATGGGTACATCAGACTACATCAAGTAAACTTTTAGGGGACATTTGCCAGTAAGCCTAACCTAGAATCTTGCATCGAAACAGGTTAAAAACATATTCCGGCTTTTTGAAATCAGTAACTTATGGGTACATCAGACTACATCAAGTAAACTTTTAGGGGACATTTGCGAGTAAGCCTAACCTAGAATCTTGCATCGAAACAGGTTAAAAACATATTCCGGCTTTTTGAAATCAGTAACTTATGGGTACATCAGACTACATCAAGTAAACTTTTAGGGGACATTTGCGAGTAAGCCTAACCTAGAATCTTGCATCGAAACAGGTTAAAAACATATTCCGGCTTTTTGAAATCAGTAACTTATGGGTACATCAGACTACATCAAGTAAACTTTTAGGGGACATTTGCGAGTAAGCCTAACCTAGAATCTTGCATCGAAACAGGTTAAAAACATATTCCGGCTTTTTGAAATCAGTAACTTATGGGTACATCAGACTACATCAAGTAAACTTTTAGGGGACATTTGCGAGTAAGCCTAACCTAGGATCTTGCATCGAAACAGGTTAAAAACATATTCCGGCTTTTTGAAATCAGTAACTTATGGGTACATCAGACTACATCAAGTAAACTTTTAGGGGACATTTGCGAGTAAGCCTAACCTAGAATCTTGCATCGAAACAGGTTAAAAACATATTCCGGCTTTTTGAAATCAGTAACTTATGGGTACATCAGACTACATCAAGTAAACTTTTAGGGGACATTTGCGAGTAAGCCTAACCTAGAATCTTGCATCGAAACAGGTTAAAAACATATTCCGGCTTTTTGAAATCAGTAACTTATGGGTACATCAGACTACATCAAGTAAACTTTTAGGGGACATTTGCGAGTAAGCCTAACCTAGAATCTTGCATCGAAACAGGTTAAAAACATATTCCGGCTTTTTGAAATCAGTAACTTATGGGTACATCAGACTACATCAAGTAAACTTTTAGGGGACATTTGCGAGTAAGCCTAACCTAGAATCTTGCATCGAAACAGGTTAAAAACATATTCCGGCTTTTTGAAATCAGTAACTTATGGGCACATCAGACTACATCAAGTAAACTTTTAGGGGACATTTGCGAGTAAGCCTAACCTAGAATCTTGCATCGAAACAGGTTAAAAACATATTCCGGCTTTTTGAAATCAGTAACTTATGGGTACATCAGACTACATCAAGTAAACTTTTAGGGGACATTTGCGAGTAAGCCTAACCTAGAATCTTGCATCGAAACAGGTTAAAAACATATTCCGGCTTTTTGAAATCAGTAACTTATGGGTACATCAGACTACATCAAGTAAACTTTTAGGGGACATTTGCGAGTAAGCCTAACCTAGAATCTTGCATCGAAACAGGTTAAAAACATATTCCGGCTTTTTGAAATCAGTAACTTATGGGTACATCAGACTACATCAAGTAAACTTTTAGGGGACATTTGCGAGTAAGCCTAACCTAGAATCTTGCATCGAAACAGGTTAAAAACATATTCCGGCTTTTTGAAATCAGTAACTTATGGGTACATCAGACTACATCAAGTAAACTTTTAGGGGACATTTGCGAGTAAGCCTAACCTAGAATCTTGCATCGAAACAGGTTAAAAACATATTCCGGCTTTTTGAAATCAGTAACTTATGGGTACGTCAGACTACATCAAGTAAACTTTTAGGGGACATTTGCGAGTAAGCCTAACCTAGAATCTTGCATCGAAACAGGTTAAAAACATATTCCGGCTTTTTGAAATCAGTAACTTATGGGTACATCAGACTACATCAAGTAAACTTTTAGGGGACATTTGCGAGTAAGCCTAACC